TCAGGTCATGCACTTGTCTGGAAAACAAATTACCAAGGAAACACATTCCTCGAGTGCAAAATGAGTGTTATACACCCCTAAAAGAAAGGAGAGCTTAATGGCAACTGGCTGGAGTGTGTTCAATCCTAAAATGTTAGGAATAACTAGTCATAATATTTCATATCTTGGCTTACATATAAGGGTTTCCCTGGAATGTGCAAACATAGCACTTCTCTCTCTGATCTTACCACCATGGCTGTGCTGTACTCATCAGGCCCATTACAAAAGAAATAAGCCCCCTGGCTTTTTCTTCTCTTAGCAATACCAGTATAGCTTAAAATATGGGAAATACAAAAGACGTGGCACTTACATCTGACCTGTGAGGGAGTGTTTTTCCTTCGGTAATTTCATAAAGCTAAAAGAGGGGGATGTTCAGAAGAGATTTCCACATGTAAGATTCATTTCCATTAGCAAGGGATAACATTGATATGGATATACCTAACACAACCACTTTTTAATTTTTGGGATTAGTGCCATCTGTGAATAATGAGAGTCAGAGGTAACAGAAAAATGTAAGGTCTAACTGGGGGAGCCAACATCCAGATTTGACAGCCTTGACAGTCAGATTTGGAGGGCAGTGTTGTGATTTAGAAGGTCAGTTTGCTTTTGCTTATGTTATCTGAGACCATCAGCAATGCATCCAACATACAGATGGAGATTTCTAAACTACCATGAATGGTTAGACTGAGAACATACTGTGGTCGCAGCTTCAGCTAAGATCTTGGGATGTAATACTATTGCTTTGGAATATCTAATAACTGGGATCCTGAACCAGAGACAAAGGTCACTGTTTCCAGAGCTGAGGACTGCTTTCCTCTTAGGCAGAACATTCTCCTATACACAGAGATTTGTTCTGAGGACAAGTAAGATACTTCTTAGGTCTCAGATGAATAAACATCTGAAAGCAAACCTCAAAACACTTCAGTTAACAGCTTTTTTTCTTTACAATTTCTGTACAATATAACGAGAAGGCAGTTTGCAGAAATGTTGGACCTGCTTCTCTCTATCTCATTTAACTGGCATAAATTACTTTTTGGAGGGTTTTTTTTTTATTGCACTGTAGTTGGTTGTAAATCTTGCACTGAGTTATTCAATAACACCTTTTCTTTTTGTTTTCTGAGTGAAGAATGAAGCCTAAGGCTTGACTCTGACTGCAGATATGGCATATAGGTATTTATCTTTACATACTTTACTGTATCCTTATTTCACACACACGTAAGTCCCACACGTGCAGTTCATGCAAATGGTACATTTCTTGTTCCTCTTGAGAGCAACTCATTTAATTAAAAAAAAAGGACTCAGATACCAAAAGTCAGATTCATGAGATTTTTTTTTTAAAGAACAGATGCTTGTCTCCATGTCTTTGAATTGCCCTTTTTGATGTACACAGAAAAGACTTGTCCCTTTACTGTCCCATGATTTACCACTTTCCTTAGCCTTCCTTACTCACATACTATAGTTCTAGTGTAAGTGATAACCGAAAATTATTGCAAAAAATAGAAAAAATATATCCAAGTTGGCATGGGGATCCAGCCTTGACAACTAGTGGGGAGGTACTTGCAAGCATATTTTGAGCTAGCTACTTAGATTAATTTTGCTGAAATTAGACTGTCTTCTCAATATGACAGTTCTCAACATTTAATAGTTGTTTAATGCTCCCATTAGGCTCAGCCCTAAACTTGGTAAATCAGCAAAAAATAAAATTAAGGTCTTTCTTTTACCACTTCAAAAATTATTATCCTTTTTGTTCTAGCTTGTGTTTGTACATTGCTGGTAATATATTTTCTGTAAAGGGACAAGGAGCAGACTGACCTGGAAAAGGAAGTCTTTTAAATGTAGAACTGTCTTTGATCACTCACAAGACTTTTGCTCTGATCTAAGCTCATTGACCTCAACGGAAGAAAGACTGCTATTGGCTTGGAGGGGAGGATTGGCTCCTGTCCACACAGTGTCCATATTCACAAAAGCAGATGTTAAAAGAAAACAGATTGAAAGCCACTGTTACAGAAAAAGATACTTTTCTTTGCACAAGGTCAGATTTATGACACATTTTTCATTTAATTTTTTCTTAGTCTCTGAAACAGGAAACTCCAATTTCTATACCTATTTTTGCTTTTTACCTGCAGATAAACCATGGATACAGAATAGAGGAGAGTTTGGTGGATATTTTCCATAGCATGAAAATCTAAGTCCTTCTCCATAGACTCTTCTGGGATATTGAAGAATAGGAAAAAGGAAAATAAGGTTCCAGGAAAAACACACCCCCAACTGCATTTCATTCAAAAAGAGACATTCCAGAGAGGGAACTCAGCACTATAGTAATGGACAATGTCATCAAAGAAGTGGATATTTGCAGAGTCCTTTTAAAAGATAAAGAAACTTCTAATTGGATTGTCTCTCTTGGTGACAGTTTCCAGACAAGGTAGATCAGCACAATGAAGTCCAGAGATCAAAAGTCACTCAGTATACAGTCCTAAAAGGAATCCTTCCCAACTCACTTGGGGCAAAGAAGGCAATCTTCATTCTGATGTGTCTAAAGAAAGATCATGGGGAGCCATGATAGTTTTGTCATATGCCATTCTGGCTACTTCTTTGGTACTATTGATTCAGTAAGCATTTTACAGTGCATATTCAGAAAATTTCTCTCACTGAGTGAGAAAATATAATGAAACAATATTTGCCACTACCAACACAGTTTATTTCAAACAAGAGTTTCTAAATAGTGTGAACATGACATTTAAGCTTGGACCAGCCAACTGCATCCCTTTAGCCCCAACATTGTGGCTGATGTGTCTCAAGTCACACATGTCTTCTCATTTGGTTAAGCACCACAGCTACGGGAGACTGGCAAGTGTTAGGCATAACTTCACTGCTGACTTAGTCTTCAGATTTTGATCTGACTTTTATGACCTGATTCCTTCTCACATCTCACATGCTGTATGCTGACCTAGCTCTACAACTTCAACTGAATGACACAGACTTAGACTAAAACAACAGGCAGAGGATTATGTACACCTAATGCCTCTATGAAGCACATAAAGTGGTTTACTCATTCAGAGCTTATTCCTTTAACTTTGGACTAAAATGGCAATATTTTCATTGACATATCTGAGAGCAGAAGCAAAGTTTACAAAGTGTTAGGTTTGGGGAAGGATGAAATAGAAAAAGGAGTGAAATAATTAACACATTCTGAAAGAGTAAACTCACCACATGAATAGATGACTGTCATTCTGCACTACATGTATCCTTCTATACCTCTTAGGGTAGAATTAAATCTACAACCCAAAATTTATAATCTCTTCCTTCCAAACTTGAATATTTATGGCAAGTGTATCCCATTCTACCCTGAATCACTTCTTCAGACTTGGATCACGATTCTGGTTGGAAACTCCTGAAAAAAATCAGGAGTTTCCAACCAGAGCCTTAGGACAAGCTAGACTTTTCATCCCTTCCTCCTTTCACTCCTTTCTCTTTTTGGGCTTGGATGCTCTGGGTAGCCTTTCCAGAGGTGCTAGGGACTTTGGCTCCAGCTGATGCTTGGTTATTAAGAAAGTTAAAACAGAAAGTATTCATCCAAGAGAACAAAGGTTGATAAAAGAGCCTGGGTCTCTCATGTTTTGTCATAGTCAGAAGGAGCATGCAGCAGGAGAGGAAGAGAAAATTGTGTAAAAAGCCATCTACTAAGAAAAGAATGTTTGATTTGGATCACAGGATGTGATACTGGAGAATGTATTGCATAACTTTATGGCTTGTCCTTATTTGCAATGATTCAGTATCCAGAACTGCTCATCGCATTTCTAAAAATGGTATTGAAAACTTACAGAGTATTCAGAGGTGATGGGAATAAGTGAGGAAAGGGAGGAAAACACCTTTTCATTTTATAGCAAATAGCAAATACTGGGTCTGCAGGTCACCCTACAGGTTGTTCATTGGTTCTACGTTCTTCCTCAGTACTCAAGTGACATTCACCAGGTCAAATCTTCTCTGTTGTCAGAGGCTCAGCTTCTCCATGCCAAACTGAAGATCATGACAACCCTTTCTTAGTGATATTTATCTTATAACTTATCTTATAACAGGGTAAGTATAGCTCTTAGTGTGGAGGACAAGACATGAGGCTGATGCAGTGCTGTGGAGAGACAGCTACCCCTCATCATAGCCACTTCTGAAGCCTCCCCTGCCAACACCAGCCCGGACTGAAAAATCCCCACAGTCTCTTTGGAGCCCTGTTCAGAGGAATTTCTCTCTGTCCCAAAACAAGCACCTTCAGGACAACCTTCTCCATCAGGGTTATTTCATTATTACCACGCTCACTTTTTCCTATCCCTTGAAGAGAGGCATCACCCAAACCTGCAGGTGTTCACCCCAAAACAACCCTTCTCCTATTTCTGATCTTCCCCTGTGCAGACGTGGGAAAAGAGAAGTCAAGACATGAACAGCCCCCTCAACACCACCCTGCAAAGGCAGGACAGAGCTGTGATCTCCCCACAGCCCTGTTCTCTTCTTACCGTCTTGTTTGTTTGGTTTTTTTTTTCTCTCTGTTTTTAGTGGGGGGAAGAGGTGTGAGTATTTGGCTTGGGTTGGGTTTGGGGTTTTTTGGTTTTATTTTTCGGTTGCTGCTTTAAAGGAATTAACCACCAACACCCATAGAAAAACTACGGATTAATGTCAGGCTCGTTAGGAGTTCAGGGAGGCGCTCATCAAACTTTAATATATATCCAAACTCCTGTTATTTAAACAAAAGGGGACAGAGTAAAAAAAAAAAAAAAAAAAACAAACCAGCAGCCTGCAGTGGTGCTGGGCGGAGACAAACCGACCTCATTCATGGCTTTTTCTGTGAAAAGGTTTACGTTTTCCCCTTGTCTCCCACTCGTCCTCCATCACCCCGTTCCACCCCCCCTTTTAAGTTTGGGACGGATTAAGACAAGTCTGGAGCCGGGAGAACTCCTCCCACCCGACAGCACCGGGAAACAACCTCTAACTACGCGGGGACCGGCGCTGGCCGGAAAAAACCGATTGCTTCATTGAGAAAAAAAAGCCGGCCCGCACATGCGACACTGCACCGGCCCCGAGCCCGGCGGCGCGGCGGACTCTGCTTTTAGGGGCGACTATACCATTATCGTTATTCCTATTTATTTATTTATTTGACATTAAAATTAACAAAAGCATCTCAGACTCAACCGCAAGAGCAATCCCTCAGGAGGCTGGACCTGCCGGAGCTGTGTCAGCGGGGGAGCCGCAGTCAGCATCACAGCGCTGGTGAACACGCACACCCCGGTACACACGCACACCCCGAAAGCCCTTACCCGGCGGGCTGGGCTCGGGGGGCTGCGGAAGGACGTCTCACCTTGTTTACCCCGAGCGCGGCGGGCGGCAGCGGGGCGGGGCGCGGCGGCCGGGGCGGGGCGCGGCGCGGTGGGCGGTGGGGCCGGGCCGGGCCGGGCCGGGGCGGGCGCGGCGGCGGGGCAGTCGGGCTGCGCGCTGGGCACCGTGCGGGCGTGCGGCGGCCGGCAGCGAGCACGGAGGCAGCCAGCGTCCCCGCCACGTAAGTAGTCACCGATACGTCGTGGGGGGAGACGGTGCCTCGGTGGAGGGGAGCGGCGCGGCCACCCCTCTCCTCCTCCCCTTGTCCTACCCCCCCCTCCCAAAAGCGGAAAACAAAAAATAAAACAAAATCTGCTCCCTGCATTTATTTTTTTAAGCGACTCCAACTGAGCGCCCCCCATGGGCTTTCGCCTATCGCCCACCCGGCCCCTGGAGTAAGAACTCGGCCCCTTCTCGCCGCCCTGGTTTTTCTTTTCTTTGTGCGTGAACCCGATTGAACGCGGCGAGGGCAGCGAGCCCCTGCTCACAAATCCGCTGCGCAGGGGGAGCGTGGGAGCGCTCTCCTATTCCCTCGTTGCACTTTTTGTTCTGTCGCGACAGCACGCTCCTTTCCGCCGGCGCGGAGCGAAGCGAGGCGGTGCGCGCTGCCCCGCACTCCGCCGGGTCCCCCCGGTGCCGGTGCGGCTCAGCCGAGCCTCCCGCCGCGGTCCTTCTCCTTTGTCGGCCCCTAAGTTAAATGCTCCCTCGCTGTTTCGCGGGGCATTCTCGGAGCGCTCCCGGCGCCAGCGACGAGGCTCCCGCGCCATCTACAGCCGGGCCGCGGCAGCGCGGCGCTGCCGGGCCGTAGGGGAGCGGAAGGAGGGTCCCGCTGCGCGCACCGCGCTACCGACCTTTTGTTACCGCCCGCGCTGCGCGACCCGCGGGAGCGGCGGCCGCCGAGCCCCGGCCGCGCCGCCCCGCGCCGCCCCCTTCTCTTCTATCCTTCCCTTTCCTCTTCTCCCCGGTGCCCGGCCCCGCTGCCCCGCCGCCGCCCTGCTCCGCTCCGCGCCGCTGCGCGCCCAGCCGGCGGCGGGAACAAAGGGCCGCGGGCTGAGCGCTCTCTCCCTGTGCCCAGGACGCGGCGCTGAGGCTGGTCGCCCGCCGCCGCCGCGCTCCCGCTCCCGCCCCCCCCGCCACACAAAGGCAGCCGCAGCTGGACGAGCGAGGAACCGCGCTCCACGCCAGGGCTCCGGTGCAGCGTCTCGGCTGGTCTTCTCCATACTCATGAACATACAAAGGTCAACCCCTATCACGATAGCACGATATGGGAGACCGCGGAATAAAACCCAGGATTTTGAGGAGCTCTCGTCCATACGGTCCATCGAACCAAGCCAGAGTTTTAGCCCGAATTTAGGCTCGCCGAGCCCGCCGGAGACCCCGAACTTGTCGCATTGCGTTTCTTGCATCGGGAAATACTTATTGTTGGAGCCTCTCGAGGGAGACCACGTTTTCCGAGCCGTACATCTGCACAGCGGCGAAGAGCTGGTTTGCAAGGTAATGCTTCTCCTTGTTCTCCCCCCTGGTTCGCCGCTGTCGCGCGTGGGTTTCCCGTATCTCTCAGGAGGGCGAGCACGGCCGTATACCTCAGTTATTGAACATTGGAGAAACAAAAGGCAGGGAGACAGGATTAAAGGCGCATCCTGTAACTTTTCCCTCTCTCCAGACAATAGCCACGTTAGAGCGGTGGCCCAGAGCCAGGTCTGCCTTCTGCCCCGGGGGATATTGTTCTGGAAATAGCCGTTTTTGAAATAGGTTTTAACGTGAGTTCAGATTAGGCGAAAGCCTCATCTTCTCCGCTCTCACTTTTCAAAATGGAGTAGGGAATCCCCAGCTAATTTTAAGGTGTTGCGACCTGCTGGCTTCCTCGATTTTTTCCTGACCCCGATTCTGTGAGTTGGGGTATGGAAGAGGATGGAGAAGCTTGGGGCGAAGGGCAGATTGCTATCAGCTTTGTCTTAAAAGTGATTTAAAAAAAAGAAGAACCACATCTAATTAATCAGCCTGAGCTCTCTCACGGTGGAGGTTGTTTGCAAACAGCATCCTCCCCCATTGCACAACAAGAATAAAACCTGCACACCTACGGTTTTTAGAAGTGCAGACAAAATAGCTATCCCACTCTTTGTAGCCTACTGGCTTTTCTCTGCCTCCTCCCAATTTGCTCCTGCTGTTCAAAGGTGAGCTGTGGGAAAAAGAAACCCACATACGCGCACATCTGTGGAGGGATGTTTTTTCTCTTTTCAAGCTGAGGGAATGTTATCCTTTGTTCCCAAATTGTGATTCCCATTGTCTGTAGTGAGCCAGACTTCTGTCCAGCAAACCGAGGCAGTACCCAGTAGTAGTTTTTATAACTACGTAGCAAATTGCAACCTTGCTGCACGTGCTGTAGTGTTTGTATTGTTCCCAAAACACAGAATTGTGCTATTTGGCAAATTTCTAGTGTCAAACTAACTGCAGGGTGGAAAAGTAGATGTATTATAGCTTATTAGTGTTCCAGGGATTAATAATAGTATTGCTGATTGTTTCATACTTTCTCATACTTGATTCATAAAAAGTTATAGACTAGCCTGTAGCAGAGAAGTGAAAATAATTGCTCCTGCTTGCTATTTGTAAAGATTGGAGTTCAGAGGGCAATTTAAATATGCTTACTGATTGAGTTATAAAACCTGATGTTAAGGCAACGTAGGACTTTGTGTGATTATATAGGGTAAAAAAAGGCCCTTTACTTTGCAAAGGACTAATATTGCCTGCTGAACTGAATGCTTTGTTACTAAACTGAAACAGAACATGAGAATTTCGAGAATGAAAGCCCAGCTTGATGCAGTAGTACAGTGCTGCTCTCTAGGACGTTGGCATCTTTTCATGAAATAAACAGATCCCACAAAGCTGCTGCTCTGCATGAAATTCTAGGTGAACTTGCATAGCAAGTGGTGAAGCGGGGGCTATGCGCTTCTTTGTTTCCTGTTTGGTTTGCAGGATTAAGGCACTGTTTTGATAACAGTATGAACAGCATAACTGCAGCTCAGAAAGAGTGGACTGTTATTTTTTTTCCCTTCCCTTTAAGCTGTATGTTTTTGAGCTGATCCTGACATTTGAATAGTATCAGTTTTTCCGTATGTGCGAGGCACTACTAGCTGTGCTCCAAAAATACAATCTTAGCTTGAATTGCTAGTTTGTGAACATGTAGTTGTCAGTCCTCAACTGAGCTTAATTTAATGCATGCTTTAAAATGCCTGCAGTATCGTGAAAACTAGTTGTCAAGTAGCCTACCGGCAGAGACCTGCTCTCTGGTATCTTATTGAAGATGCTCCTAGAGGTTGCTTGCAGAAACATTGCGTTGGATAACAGACACATACTGATGATTCTCAAGAATTTGCATTTGGCTGCACCCACTGACTGTACAGATGCCGTTATTTGCTTCAAGGCTCTGTGGCATCCAAACAATGGTAACTTCTCACTTCCAATTCCCAGTGAGAACTAAATCAAACTGCAGCTTATTAGACATTTTCTGAATTGAGGCCAGGGATCTTAAAGGCTGGGATACAAAGAAGCCCTTTATAAAAGGTATTCGAGACTGTAGCACTATGATAGCGCTTCCGTCTACCCGCTTTCAAACACAGTACTGGTACATATCCAAAACTACTTATTTAACATAGTTTGAGAAACACAAAATGTAACTAATTTACATCAGGATAATCTGGTTAGCAGAGAATTCTGCAAAGAGTTTTTTTCACATGAGGGTTTGAGCTGCATGAGTGTTCCTGCTTAAATTTTATTTTATAGCAGCTGCTTTGTAGAAGAGCCATTTACTTACAATGTAGTAGTTACGAGTTTTGAGATCCAAATGTCAATGAATTCTCCTCTGGAATGAATTACACACCAGGGATTTTAGCAACACCCCCTCTCTGCCCTGGTTCTGCGTCCCTGGTGCACCGTGTCACCAGAACGCCACGGTGCTAATCCTCCCCCAGTAAAATGTGCAGGGACTGTTTGGCAGTCTGCCTTTAAGGCTATTTTTCCCTGTGCCAGAGTATAACAGCACAGGTATGGGGTGAGGGGAGATGTGTGAGGTTCCTGGTTTCCTGGGTTTTGAGTCCTTTACTGTGGAAGGAGTTTGCTAGGATTGTTCTCTGAAGCATTAAATGGCTCGTGTTTTGAAGTTTTGGGTAAATTTTGGTTGAACTGTGTCTCTTTCCCTCAGTTTTGAAAGCTTTTTAAAGCTTTAGAGAAAGCAAGGAGAGATTTGCTTCTTGGAGAGGATACAAATACCTGGTATTGGTACACAAATGCGAGAATACAGAAAGAGAAAAACCAATTTCAGTTTAAAACAGTGGTTAGAGAACTATACCAGTTCTTCATTTTTATGTTCCGTTCAAAGAACACATGACTACCTTAAATTCTTTTTACCAAAGTAAGAAAACACCCACGAGTAAGTTACATATTAATCGAATTTTTATGCTGGTGAGAATGCTAATTCCTTGCTTTGTAGTCCTTTGGATCAGGTATAATTAAAAATAAAAGTCACTCCTATCGATACTTTGCTCATAGTCTCTTTTAGCACACTGACTTCTGTTACTCTCAATGAAGTCTTTCATTTTCTTGTAATGTGGTCTTTTCTCAATTGACTCAAATACTGGTTCATTCGTCATCACTAGATTATAGTAACTTTTTATTTGGGTTTCTCAGCAGCTTTTTTAATTCTTACAGCTCATTCAGAAGATCAGTGATAACATACTTAGTAGTAAAGGGACACTTTGCTTTTAATGGAGCACTTGATTGAAATACAGAGGGTTCAGGGTGGTTTTGTCTCTGCCTTTTGAAGGGTGTTTGACTGCGCTCCAACAGGCAGAGCTATTTCCCGGGTTGTCCTTCTGATCTTATAAACAGCCATTGTGGAACTGAGACTTGGAAAGTGAAAGTGACTTTGCTGTTTGTCAGAGATGAAAGAAAGGCAGGAAGTAAATAGGAATAGCAATAGATGGTGCTTTAAAGCTGAAAATCCTTAAGGCTTTAATGGGTTAATAAAATCAAGAGAGGCAGGCATGTGTATCAGGGTGGATTTAATGTGACAGCTTCTCTCAGTACAAAGCTACTGGCTGTATTTTCTATGAGTTTATTTGGATGGAAAACAAAAGATGAACATGTTTCTTTCTGAGTACTGCCCTTATGCACCACTGATCTTCACAGCTTAATTTAGATTACATTCTTCATTTCATCATCTGTTATCTGATGAAACTATGCTTGCTACCAGTTTTGAAGACTAGCCTTTCCTGTCAAGGTTACGAGTATCTTTTTTGTGGGGTTGTACAGTCTGTTTTGTCTTGTCCTCAGGACCGTGAGCTTGTGACATCCTGTTTACATCGGTGCAGTTTCAGCAGCAGCCTAAATTGTACTTAGAGATGGTTCTGTTAATAGAATTAGATGTACCATGACTTTACCGTCCTTCATGTTGCTAACCCTGGCTTTACTGTCATTGTTCTGCAGGTGTTTGATATTGGCTGCTACCAGGAGTTATTAGCACCATGTTTTTGTCTGCCTGCACATAAAAATATCAACCAAATTACTGAAATAATTCTTGGGGAGACAAAAGCGTATGTGTTCTTTGAAAGGAGCTATGGGGACATGCATTCGTTTGTTCGTACCTGCAAGAAGCTTAAAGAAGAGGAGGCAGCCAAACTCTTCTATCAAATAGCTTCCGCTGTTGCACACTGCCATGATGGTGGACTGGTACTGCGAGATCTCAAGCTGCGAAAGTTTATTTTCAAGGATGAAGAAAGGTAAGAGTCTCCCTTAGTTTACAGGAGGTAAACTTGTCAGGGGGTGCCTGAGGTCAGATATTCAGAGCTGCAGGACATTGTGCCCTTCATTGTCGCTGTCCCATTAGTTTGTGGTACACTTTATTTCCTTTGCAACCTGATCATGGGATGGATGTGCCATTTTACCTTCTGGCTTAGGTTTTGGAGTAAAGTAAGTATAGACTGATATTTGCATCAGTGCTTGGCCTCTGCATCTCCACTTAAGGAGTACCCTCATTCCTAAGGGGGAGAGGTTTCCTGGAGGAAGGCTCTGAATGGATGTCTGGTGCAAGAGCTGAGCTATCATAAATGCTGCTGGTGTTAAAAGAGGAAAGGAGCATAAGATCCAGCATGTTAAAGAGGATGAGGGACTGAAATGTCTCATTCCAGTGAGGAGACATGAAAAGGAAGAATAGGACTGCTTTGAGGACAGCTTCTTGTTTTCCATGCTGGAAGGCTGCTTCTAAGAGTATTATGTGGTCAGTAATCATACTAAGACTAAAAACTGCCTTGCTGGGTGCTTGTTTGCAGTATCAGCTGTTGTGGTACTTGGGGAACTATTTTTTTTTATTTTTTTTTTTTAATAAAAAATGTCTCCCTGCACACCCTCCTGTATAAATGATTTGGGGAAGGAGTATGGGAAGACAGGGAAAGAAGAAATGGATGCTCTGGGTGTATTCTTGAAGTGCCATTTCTGGTGTGGATATATAGCTATACTGTTGTACCTGTGGAACTTACCATCTCTTTCTTTGTGGCTACCCATTTTCTTTGTTTTGATTGATAAATTTACTTGCAACTTCCACACAAAGTATCAGTAATAAACAGAGTAATGTCAGACTTTGACAGAGAGATTAAATTGTAAGATGACCATTACAAAAAAAAAAAAAAAAAAGGAAACTAAATGGGGGGCAGAATCTGCCTTTGTTCTTCATATCTTGGTAGGGGATGGGGAATTAATTAAAATCTATAAATTGTCCAAAAACTTGTTCAAATTGCTGCAGAATGAAATGGATGTTCTGGAGAGCTTTGTTACAAATAATCAGTGCATATTAATTCCATTTGGGGCTGTTTGGGGAAGTTATAGGCAACAGCCAAAGCAGATAAGTTTTTAACAATCACAGGAAGTCTGTGATCCAAAAATTAGAAAAAACTAATACATAATTAATTCAGGAAAGAGAAGTTCCTGGCCTAATATAAAAATGGCAACCATCTATCAGGTTTAAATATTCTCTACTTAAATTTTATTGCAAGCTGAGTTTTGCAAAATAGACTTCTCCTTTTAATCTATTTGTGGACTGAAAAACAAAAGACATTTTCATTCCTTAATTCAGTTCAGATGATTCTCTGCAAAGCAAATAGCTATTTCTTATTTTTCTACCGCAGACCCGATATATATGATTGCCCTTTCATCCTTTTCAAATAAAAGAGCCTAAAAGGAAACTAGCTTAATGTCCATTCATAGCGAAATGCAGAGTGGATAGATGTAAACTGTATTTTCACAACTTTTACTCCCCAGTTTAATAATTAAGCACCATTATAGCACCTCTGATGAAGATAAGAAGGAAACTTGTACAAAACAGTTGAGGGAGGAATTGTTTTCTGTTGTAGCTGATAACGTCCTAACGTTATGGTGGATTTTTTTTTTCCTGGGGATATATGTAAACTTGTGTGGTTTTGCATGAAGAACAGGACTTGGAAAAGCTCCTCCAAGGGAAGGCGGCATGAGCTCAGAGCAGTGCAGTGGGAGCAGACGTGGGCCTGTGCTGAATACAGTTGAGCTCCTACCCTGCTGCTTACTAGGAACTGAATGCAACATGAGGCATAGGGCCAAATCCTTCAGCCACCCAAGAAAAGTGATGTGTACTAGAATAGCAGTGTTGGCCTTTATGAATGTTTTTAACGTAACTGTCCTCTGCAAAATCACACAGTTACTCACTTTTGAGTACTGTCTTCTAATTATACAATAATATGCTTTAAAGGTCAAATAGGACTTGCCAGTTATTTTTAAGATAATCATAATGCGGTTTTCTTCTGGATGTAATGTTGGTTTGTAAGTAGAGAGGTATTGTAATCCTTTCTCTGCTAAATAAACACAGATGAAATGTGAGATAGAAATAGAACCAAAGAGCAGTGACTGTCTTTTTTCACATGCTCTGATCATCAGACTGTAATCAGTCATCACTTTCAATCTGCTGCTATATTTAGGCTGAAAAATCTCCCTGGTCCTTCCGAGTTCACAGAGGTGTTTGTGTGTTGCTTGCACCCCTCCAAGCTCATGTCTCCCTGAGGCTGCTGGTGCTGGTGAGAGTGCCTGTGTGCCGAGGAGCCTGCCCTTCAGGAGCTGCTGTCCTCAGCAGTGCCTAGGGGATGGCTACTGCACCATCCCTTGCTCTTTGGTGTTTTGAGAAGTGTATGTGAACTCCGCTGCTGTGTGTTGCCTGCTCTTCAGTGGAGTTCTTTCTTAGTAATTCTTTTCCTGTTTCTTCATGGCTATTTTTCTACATTTCACTTTAGGTACCTACCACTTTGAAGCTTTCTCGTCTTGAAGACTCTCACAGCTTTTATTTTGGTAGAAAAAAAGATGGGAAATCCAGCATGCAGGCAGCACATGAATGGAAAACTTGCTGCTTTTATTTTTTTTTTTTGTAAGATACTTGTCTGCTCTTAGCTGAGAGCTGCCAGACTGGAGGAGCCAGAGGGAATGTGAGGGATATATGGAAGCAGTTCCATTTGTTTAAAAAAGAAAATCAATTAAAGCATTTCTTAGTACATCTCCTTCCATTGATTCTAATGATATCCTGGTAGTTCAGTATAAAAACAGAACTCCTGGAGTTTTTCAGGTGGGTGCATGCAGTGTTGAAACTCTTTCTACCCCATTCCTATTATCTAAATTACAGCAGGAATTTGCAAAGATTCAGTCTCCTGATCTAGCAGCAACATGAGTGCTCTTTGCTTCAACTGATGTCACTGCTAAGAATGCATGTTATTTGGATGTTGCAAATCACTGTGCCTTGGGATGTTGGTAATGAACTGGGAGGTAAGAAGGTGGAATAAAGTATTTTTGGAGGCTGGTAGCACTGAGCATTTTGTAAGGGTCCTGGTCTTACTAGTGACATTCTTTTAATGTACTAAATCAAAGATGGACTGTGATAGTGTGTTACACTACTGCACATGTGTAAGTACATCAGCAATTAAAATGAAATTCAAAATTCCAGTGTGGAAGCAGAAACAATTTGTCTGTGTTTCAAAATAATTTATAGCTTCTTTAAATCCTGAACTGCAGGAAGTTTTAAGATATGGTAAATTGCATTCCATGAAAATGATGTGCGCTGTTGCTACATGGGCTTTCTATTTTGATTAAAAGGTTGGGTGGTTGTGGTTTTTAGAGGGAGATGTGTCTGTGAATCCGTTTGAAAACTATAGGTGAAATAGCCAGTCTTGTAGTATTGAAATTTCAGAGCTAAATTCCATAAACCTGCAGCTGATCTTGATGAAGCAGAAATTCTAAGACATTACAGCATGGCTGGAAATGTTTTGTAAGACTGGGTTACGAAGCAGCAGCACATCCATTAAATGAGCGTAGTGACTTCCAGAACACTGAAGGTATAGAAAACAACACTGACTTGCCATGCTGAGTCTCAACAGACTTTCCAAAATACCTCTAAGATACTTGAATACTTCAAAAATTGTGTCCTTAGACTTCAAAATAAAACTGGAATCCAAAACAGTGGAGATGAGCTATGATAAAACATATGGTCTTGTGTGTTTTCTGCTTCCAGTCACGTTAATTATTTTTTGTCCTGGATATTAAGCCAGGTCAGTGTTGATATTATGAGGCTCTTGCTTTGGAGTATTTTTTCTGTGTTCATGGCATGGTATTTGCTGTTTTCCCTATACAGCCTATCATCATAGTAGGCCCTTGGGCAAAGCAACTATCCCCTTCTCCTGGCTGGTGTCTCATAATGATGTTGCAGAATGGGCAGGTTTTTTTGGGTTATGCTAAAAATAACACTATACACAGTATATAGCTAATAAAGCAGCTCATCAGTTTGAAACATAGCAGACGCTTTGAGAAAGAGCCACCTCAAAGATCTCAGAATTAAATGAAGCATTTCAGTGTTGGTTGTTTCAGTGGTTTGCTTAATACAAGAACATTTCTGCTGTCAGGGAATTATTAATTTCTTTAGTGCGTTTTTAAGCCTTTAATTATATTAAAATATTAGCTGTCGTAATATTTGAAGCTTAAAGACCTTGTACATTCATCATACTTGTTGAAGGGAAAATTAAAATAATTTTGGTATTGAGATATTGTAATTTTCCTGTATTCTTTGAGTAAATATGAGGCAGGTGGGATTCAATAAAAATAAATACAATTTGACACTTTTTGCTCTGTGCCAGGGGAATGCAGCCATTACAGTACACTAATTTAGGAAACCTGTGTTAGCATAATATATTTACTTGGTTCTCCTAGAATATTTTTTCTTTTTTCTCTCGAATTTCTCAGCTTTGAGTGGATGATGCTTTAAGGTGACCTAGTTATGTTGTTTGCAATCCTCATGATACAAACCTGATCCCACAAAAAATACAAATGCATGTATCAACCTTTTTCCACAAAGACCTTTCATTTTCTTACAGTTAATAGTAAGTTTCCTCCCCAGCATTTGTCAAGTTGTAATGTGATCAGCAGCTTTTTCACTGTGGTGTTAGAACTTGCTGTTTTCCTCACAATTCCATAAAGAACAGGTAAGCTAACACTTTGTCTAAGTCCTAGAAAGAGAGTCCTAAAGTAGAAGAAAATTAAACAAAATAGTGCTCTTTAAATACCAGAAGATTTAGAAATAAAAACAGTCTTCACCTGTGTTATCATTTAAGCACTACCCTGAATGGGGCCACAGGACCAAAGAGTGCACTTTCTCCAACAGTGGAGAGTCACAGGTCAGATTTCAAACCAGAAATTATTATTCTTAGAATATGGGGAGGAA